TATTCTGCTTTGAGGCGCAGATATTTGCTCGTGACGTAGTTGATGCTTAACATCTTTTGCAAAGACGAAACCCACAGCCGATGGAACCATGAAGTGTAATAGGTGCATTGGAATTTCCCCCGGCCTGATACATAAATGGTGGTACTTGAATTAAATCCATATGTTTTTTAATAAGCTGTCGCATTATTAGTTTTGGATGAAGCGACTTTCGGAACTGTGAAAAAAAAAATATGAAAAAAGTATGTTACCTGTTGATAAAATATTGCTTTTTGGATGCCCAAAAGAGGTTTTTACTTACGAAAACATCAAACAAATCTACAAAATGAATTTGAGTGACCCTAAATTAAATTCAATGAAGAACAAGGTACTCTAAATCTATCAACTAAAGATGTACTTTATATCATCTACGAATATTTGAGTTGATGATTCGGAGAAGTGTTTGGAGATGTTCACGCGTAACAAACTCTAGTTCTTATTGCTTCTGCATCCGCCATATTCTGCAGTGACTATTTCCTGTTCTTAGATCTCAAAAACTTTCTCGCTGGAGATAAATTTTCGTGGTATGAAGAATTGATACTCGAAACTGACACAAAATTTTAAGCACAGGGCAAATTACATTACGAAAATAATATCAAAAACTTCTAGGGTAGCTGTAACCACTGGGAGCTATGTTGAATAAAAAAACAAATTTTGCCATAAGAAAAGGTGTTTTCATTTGCAAAAATCATGTCGTCAAGATGGATGAGAGCAATTCAAGTCTTAGAGAAAGCGTTGCAGAAGAAGGCAAAAACCTTCAGCTCGTTGTCAAAATCGAGGGGACAAATACTAAGATTTATTCAAGAATATTATCTTAATGTTATGAGTCTGTCTAATTAAATTTTTATTGGCAGTTGTAATTTATGTAAAACTTGTGAGATATTGAACTTAATTGAATCACTTAAACTGTCTCAATTATAAAAAGGCATCATTTCTTTTGATAATATCAGAATGAATAAATTTTTTTTAAGTAACAAAACCAAAGTGGCTCAAACGTAAAAACATTTTTATTATATAAATGCATATTTGCGAAACCAAGGAAAATATCAAAATTTATCAAAATTTTTTTAAGTAAATATTCTATCGGACCATTAAATTTCCTCAGTAATATCTATAAGAAATTTCCACCGCCAAAAACGTCTAGTAGTATTTGTAGCAAAAAAATTGATAAAAATAATAATTTTTAGCGATAAAAATTGTAACATAATTCATGTCAAAGTGGTTATGAGCAACTGCTTTTGGCCAGCTGGGCACATATTTCTACAAAGTAGCACCGTAGAAACGTCGGTTTGTGCATGCCGGGCCGTTTGTTCATGCATAAAAGAGAAATTTCAGCCACATTATTAGTATCAACTTATCATTTTTTCATTTGCCAAACGAACTGCTGCTGCAGGCGCTGCCAAAAAAGCCTTTGCACCAACCGAAAATGCGCTTTCGAATCGATCTTTGCAAAAAATGACACTTGAAAATTTACGACTTATTAGTTTCCGCCCGAAAGAGAGTTTGAAAGCGTGTTCGTATAAATGTTCATGTGTAAGAGTATGAGAGAGAGTGCCTTCTAATATTTACAGCAACTTCAACGCCTTTACGCTGCATACTTTGCGGCGCTACGCTTCAATTGGCAAGCTTTAATGCTTCAAGGCACAATTGAACGTTGTCTATTTGGTCCTTTTTTCTTTTCTTTATTATGACTGGGCATGTTGAGCTCACTTTATTTTATATATATATATTGGTGTGTGTGTGAAAATTGCTTGACATATATATAACCTAATTTACGGCGACAACATTGTAGTAAATTAAACAAACATTTCTTATTTTATATCTCACTTTTTATATTTAATGGCTGATTGGAGCACACGATGCGGCAGTAAATTGTCTGCTATAAAAAAAAACGTGGAAAAATTACACTAAAGTGGACGCTTAATGTCTGCAGGATAATTAAATTGGAGAACAAGCTGTCACATGAACATACAGGAAAACAAATATACACGCTTGAATGTCTTATAATCTGTGACACGAGATTCCGATTTGGCATATCGAGTGACTTAGCGGTCAATTTTCAAGCACAAAAGTAAATTAAAGTGGCATTTCAAATATCTGCGTAGAAAAAAGAACTTTACTTGACATTACTATACGTACTTTAAATTGAGTTTCCTAAAATTTTAGTAAAAATTTATTCAATAAATTTTCTTTGCTAGTTTTGCAGTAAAGTTTCTAACAGTTTAATGAACATTACACAACAAGTTCAAAAGTATTCATATACAAATGTTTGTCTGCTTGTAAGTTCAACGTCGTCTAGCCGTCACATGCATGATTGCTCTTTAGCTTTCGAAAGCTCTGACGTTCTCCTTAAGCTCTTGATTGCTCAAGTGGTTATGCACAAGTGGCTCTTCATGTTCGAATAATTTTGTACAATCTGACTGACATTTGAAGTTGAAAGCTTTATTATTATTTTATTTTGATTTGAACCAATTTTGATTGGCTTTTGGCCAATCGATTGTGACAATTTATTTATTTTATTTATTTATTTCTATTTTAAATTTACTTCCGAACATATAACACAATAAGTCTTAAAGTAGTAAATAAGTTTAATTAATTAAATTATATAAGGAAAAAATTACTTAAAAATAAGATAACATTTTAATACCAAATTTCATGAATTTTGAAAAACGGTTAAAAAATTTAATAAAATATTGATGCCTTTCAACTTTTATGTATTTCACAAATTCTAAAGTAAAACTAGTTCAGAGGTATATTAGAGGCTTAAGATGTTCTAGAAAATTATTTTATGAAGAAACAAAAAAAAAATGCCCTAGGAAATATACACCATTTCTTGGTTCTGTATGAATGCTCCATCCTGCTGAGGATTAGTCATAATTTTCCGTGGCGTTAATCGATTGCAAAATATTACTAACGCCCCTTGATCCAAATACCGGAGATGGCGATTATCTCTACTCAATAGCTGATACACAATAAGCCCGAATGTCGGACTACAAGTCCTAATGCGCAGCCGTCGTTTGTATTTAATCCAATCTTATTTTATTTTTATATATCCTTCGTTCCTAGATGATCCATCGACCGCGTTATAAGACCGGCGCGGATATGCTCTTCCTTGGTCAGACTAAAGATTACCTAAACCTAAAACTTACTAGTTAAATGTAAGTTTTATTTTAGTTGAGGCACCTGGTACCTAACCAAACGGCTATCGAGGCCGCCAACCACCGTTTTCAGTGCCTTCAGCGTTCAGCGTTCAAATTGTTTTTTAAATATTGAAACTTAAGCTAAGACTAATGGTCCTGTAATAATCCCAAAATAGCACGCGCCACTGAAAAGCTGTGCAACTATATAGAATGAAAATAGACCAAACTATTGCTAGCACAAAATAAAAGAGAACATAATGTTCTGTTTGGTCTGCAAAAGCTTACAGAGTATGTAGCTTTCACAAAGAAAATGAAAGCTCCAAGCTCCAAACTTATGGAGATGGATGCGCATATGTGGAATAAACTGAAAAATATTTACTAAATCGAAGAAACTTAACTGGGACAAGGAGGAAAGAACAATAAGCCTACTCAATGGCTTAGTTGCGAATACCCGCGGTCATGTCCTCAACCTCCCAATGGCCGAACAAACCAAATATATAGGTGGCAACTCGGTAATTTCTCCAATTATCAATTTTCAGATATTCTGTATTTAACACCTAAACTGAAATATCGAATACTTTCAATCAAGTTGAAAAAAAAAATTAAAAATTTTGCAGCCCTGTTCACAACAAATTTCTTCGTAAGCCTTAATCGTATAATTGCATTGATCTGTTGCTAAAAATTATTTACTTTAATTGGAACAATTTTCTTCCCAAAACTGTTAAAAGTATGATATTTGAAAGCTTTATTAAATATAAACTTTTGAAATAAATTTATACGAACATTTGGCAACACTACTTAAACGTATTTCTAATTTTTAGCTCTTGCAAACTGCCTCTTGATTTTTAATTCTCTGTTAGTATCTCTAATATTATATCATAAATAATAAGTCTGTTCAATTATTGGTTGTAATATTTTACAATCTCTTTCAGATCACTTTAATATTAGTTTATTGACATCTTTAAACATATTCGATTTAAAATCTATATTGGAAAAAAATTATAATTTTGTAAAATATTTATAGTTGATAATTGGGATATTTGTTTCAAGACTCCAAAAGTCCTTAAAATATTCTATAATAATTTAAACCATATTAAATATTAATCGCATACTTGAAGTTTATTTTCTTAAAATCAAAAATATTTTTAAATATTTAATGGCAACTCTACTCTTATTTTTTTGTAATCGGAAAATTTTTTATTCATTTAACGACCAATATGAAATATTAGAATTCATTTAATTAAAATTATACGTATACTACGTAATAGGTGGCAGCTCTACGCAAAAACATTGCGAACTACAAGCTTTTTCAAGTTGCTTGCAGAAATGCAAAATAAACAAATTTCCGCTAAAGGAAACCATAAAAACGGACGGCATATGGCTGGGTAAGAAATAAAATGCCAATAATGGCGATAATAAATATTTTATTGCTGAATTTAGTGTTTGTAACAACATTTAGAGAATCTGTTAGCAGGTTAAATTTGCTTAACTCTATTATTAAGACATAATTCCGAATTCTGTGAGGTTGAAAGCATTTTAAGTACTATTATATTATATTTACTAAAAATAGAGGAAAGCTATTTCTTATAAAATTTTTGGGTAAATTTATTTCATTTCACATTGAGATACCCTTAAAAATATGTTAAGAGTAGCTTATAGACTTAACATAAATATCTATTTTCATTTTTATATGAATATAATTTGTTGCTAAGTTTTAAAAATAAATATTTTCACAAATACACACAATGCCTGCCTTTATCTGTCTATTATTAATTAATTTTAATAACTTTTTTAATTTGGAATATACCAAAAATTTCTTGGAATTCTATTTCTAAAAATTCTTCTCTTAAGTGTATGTAAATTTTTAGTCCCGCAAGTGAATATGAGCAAGTACAAGTATTTGTGGGCCTCCGTTTAACAATTTTACTAGTCAGTCAATGGAATTCATAACGAATTTTTGATTTAACATTTGTTATTGTAATAACAAGAAGAAATGACAGACACACGTGTCTCAAGTTTTTTAATTTCAGCGGTAAAGATTGCCCTTCAAATAAATACACATATGCCTTTATCTATGAATATTCCAGCATGTGCGCTCATAAATATGCAACGAATTATGCGAAAATTTACCTTACAGACTTGTTTACGTCCTTTGCACCTCATATGAAGATGCGAAAAACATTTAATTGAGATATGCTAAACTTTGGTTTTCTTCTTCTTCGGTCTTTTTCTATTTTGCAAATTCCGAGGTATAAAAGCACAGTTAGAATTTGCAAAGGATATTAGTCAACTGGCATTGCTTCAGCAAACGCATTCTGCTATAGCGAGAGTAGTTTTCGCGGTATTTAATAAGAAATGATCTCCGTAAATTTATTGAAAATCCACGCTTTGCTGCTCGTCTTGGCAGTGGTGTTGCAACAAGCTCATTGTTCGCGTACAGTTTGTGGTCCTGCACTGGACGCGGTACTCAGAACAATTTGTGTACATGGCTTCAATTCAAAATTCAAAAAGTCAAGTGAGTTTAGAATTTTTAAATTAGTTAAATAAATATATTTAGTTTTCAAATTTCGTACAAGTTTTTATAATAAAAAAATAATTTTTTAAACATTTTATTCATTTATAGTGGAGTGGGATGATGTGGGCACCAACGAATTGGATTTTGAATTGCCCTTTCTCTACGCGAACTCACCATTTTTGGCTAAAATTAATGGCGATCAGTTTGATACCGTGGCCAAGACTCGCCGTTATCGCGACACTCCTTACCGCACCGGCGTATATGATGAATGTTGTAGCAAGGCCTGCAGTTACAATGAGATTTTGTCTTATTGCAACTCATATTAGATCGAGAAGGCAAAGGGCAGCTTTGATATTATATGAATGAAGTAAAGATTTATTTGGACAAAAATTATGTTGAAAAATTATTAAGTATTAACCAAGCTACAACGTGCTAAAATCAGGCTCGCTTAAACACCAAAACAACAAATTAGAAAATATTTGTATACTTTTTTCAGAAAAAAAAACTGTCAGGCTTTTGATAGGTAGTTATTAAAAGATACTGCGAAAAAATTAAAAAAAAATTTAGATACAAAAATTTTTTTTGGTTTAATTTAACAAGTAATAATAAAACTTTTTAGAGAAAATAATAAATCCAAGCGATCGCCTTTAAATTGCGAAACTTAATTCTAATATTTCATTTTAAAGAAAACTTAATAGCTTTTTAATTTATTAATGATTATTATTTTTTCTTAATCAATATAACATCAAGAACAATGGTCAACAAAATTTGAATTTTTATTGTACTAGGGCCACGAAGCAAGAAGACATCATGAGAAAATACATCCACACCATTTTTTATTGTTATACTAAAATATCTATTTTAGGAAAATAATATAAGAATTCACGGTTAGTAAACTTGGTTTGCTTAACATACTTGAGACTGTCCGGATTAAAATTTATTTCTCGCTCACAGATCCACAATTTGATTTTTATAAGTTTATTTATTAATTCTTTCAATTTTCTAATTTATGGTTGTCAGGAAAGTTTTGGATGAGAGTCTCAAAACTCTGCCAGGCTAGTATTTGGAAACCAACGAATATTCCCTAGAAGCTGAAGCTCAAAGACTTAAAATACTTTCTTGTGCCAAATTTGGAAAAATTCCTCACTCGAATCCAGCCTTTCTGATTGTTTTGTAGGTTTTCACACAGGCGTGTCGGCACTATGTAAGGTGTGCTTGGTGTTGGTTGTATTAAAAGACTTTCAGTTGTGTTCTCTTTCGGTTCCAAACCAATCTGGTAAAGAAAATAGCCAACGTCTAGAATGTTTTTAGCCTAAATTCGAAGTTTGACACACGCTACAGAGTATTTATGAGAGTCTCAAGACTTATCTTAATTCTCGACAAGAAATCAAAAATAGTCTGATTAGTATTGAACAATTGTTGATATGATTTGACGGAAACTGTCGATGTTGTTAGAGTACTTTCGTTGCATATTTTCGAAATAATTTTGTTAATTGAATGCAATACAGGCACCCAGATAAAGATATTAAAGCAAGGCAACATATGTAAAGACAGAAATGCATATGTGGGTGTCGCAAAAAACCATACTTTTTAAATGAGGGTACACGGATATAACACAAACCATCGAAAATCTCGTTTTCCAAAATCATGTTTACCAGTGTAATTAAATGATTGACCAACTTATAAAAACTAAAAAATGTGTAACATTAACACTTAATTTGGGAATAAAAAATGGTAGGAGTGTGAGTTGAATAATTACATAAATAATAATTGAAAAATTTCAGAATGAAATTTTTAAGAAGCGAATATACATAATTAATTAAGTACCACTACAAAGACAGTATTTAAAATCATACAAGTGAAAAAATTTCAGCTAATACCTTGCACTTTCTTCCTACTGGGGTTATGAGAGAGAGACAATGAATTTTATTTTGACGAAATTATTTTGCAAGTTTAAAAAGGGTACATTCGAAATTTAATGCTATTAAAGTACAAAAATATTTTAACAGATTTAAAAAAAATTGTTCAATTAGTGTTAGGCGCAAAATAATGTCCGGGGACGATTGCATCCTGCACACGATTGACGTTAATCGGTCTAACTAGTCAATCGTGGGTTCCAATTGAAAAAAGAAAAAATACAGGGAATTAATTAACAATTAATAAATTAATAAAAACGAATTTAATTTGTGTAGATTTTTATAAATGTATATGATTTTGTCTGACACTAATTTTCCAATTTACGTTTTTTAATCCTGCAATCGCTGAGTCAGCACCGGTGAGCTTCCTTCTTAGATAACGCAAGACGGAGTGTCTTTTGAATTTTTACTTATTGGTCGTCGTGCCAATAAGAAACAAGAACAGAAGTTATTTACCGCGTATCACGTATTACAAGACCCTTTTGAATAGATGAGTTAACCAAGTAGTAAATTAAATTAAATTAGGCCTTTCGCCCAAAAACATCTTTTTGCGAGAATATGAGGAAAGATTTCCCTTTTTTCCGGAACCTACTGTTAATGAATGCCATGGAATGGTAACAAACAGTATAAATAGAAGAAACGAAAATAAGAGCAAATAAAATGAATAGCCTATATCAACGATCAGCAAGTGTAAACGGCGCGATTTCACAAAAGAATTTTATTTTTTTGAGTAAATCTTATCAAAAAATAAAAATTTTATTAATTTCATAAAAAGGTGAGCCAGGTCGAAAGCTTTTTCAAGTTTGTTGGATTCATATTACAATCTGAGTTAGTTGACACTGAAGAATAAATGAGCCAATGCCAACTCTTAAGAGCCCTAAAGGACAGCGTCTTCTTTAAAGAAAACAAAAATGATTGATGAATCATTTATACTGTAGCAGCATAATGCTCCATTCACATAAATAAGATGATAGCCGATTTTTATGAAAGACACTCTTGTTATAAATATGAGAAAATGTTTCGAATCTTTTAAATCGGAAGCAAGGCGAATTTTTTTACAAGAAAGGGAAATTAAGAGATTTTGAGGTTAAGACCCTTTCAAGTAACCGCTGAAGTGAGCTCCTTCTCGAATTTTTGGTTTAACATCTAGATGTTTTCCAACAAAAGGAGGGGCTTACAGTTTATACTAAGCCTCCTTCGAACCGCTGATGGTTTTTAATGAGTCAGAAACGTCAGAAACACACTCGGAGGTGTTGAAATTCCCTGCCGAGGGGCGACCGCAATTAGAAAATTTATGTTAATTTTTTTTATAATTTAAATTAATTTTCTATAATTTTTTGGATATTAGTCCGATACCACTTGGTCAAATATTTTTCTCATATTAGTTGAAAATCTTCAATAAAATTATAAGAAGCCCCGTAACAGTTTAATGCATTTTTACTTTTTATTTAAATTTTATAATAATATAAACGTGATAAATGCTTAATTTATTGATTTTGGATAATTAAAGTAAAATCAAGTTTAAATAAATTATTAAATATTAATTAATTAATTTAATTTACTTTTAATTTAGGTCGTAAAATATTTTCAATTAAATTACTTACTCAGTTCAAATTTTTAAGTAGTACTTTGATAAATAATATAAACTTTCACATTTTCCTGAAATTACGTTTGGTCATATATTTTTGTTTAAATTAAACTAAGGTGTAATTCGATTAAAACTAATTTTCATCCAGAAAAATATGTTCATTTGCCGCCAGATGGGATTATCTCATCACCATTATCAGTCGTTGGTTACAGAATTAGCATTCATTTACTTGCAGTATGAAATCAATTCACCAATGCGGCAAGGCTTGCGGCAACATTCATCGTAAACAACTTGACGCTGACGACAACTCTTCGCCACTGTATCTACTTGACCACCATGAATCTTCGCCAAAAAAGGCGTATTTCCGTAAGCAAAAGGCAATTCGTCCTCCACTGCAGAATTGTGACTCCATTCCACTGTAATTTTAATTTTAATCGAATTAATTTTATTCCAACAAAAATATTCAGTGAAAATTAAGTGAAGTTATAAAAAATCTTGGCTTTAATAGATTTCTGTAATTTCGCGTTTACTCACATGACTTCTTAAATCTCGTATTAAAACCATTTTCGCAAACTGTACTGAGTACCATATCTATGGCAGGCTCATATAGCGTTTGATCGCCCAAGCTTTGCTCATAAGTAACCAATCACGCCAAGAGAAAAGCGGACATTTCCAACAAATTCGAGTACATATAAGATATTTTTTTTTTGCTTTTAATTTATAATTATATGAAATTAAATAATTCTAACTCTCTTTGTGAGTTACTTAACGCAACTGAAGTAATTTCCAAAAATCAGCTGTTTATATACTATCGCATACAATGCTAATTTGCAAAAACTCATATTACCATGTAAAATTAATGTGGAAGCACGAGTTTTTATTATTTTTTTTTTGCAACCTTCCTCTCCTTTTAAAAATGGAAACATTCCAATTTCGCATTTTCATAACTTTGATACACAGCTACAGCCTACTTAATTTTTATACAGTCACGCCACACAGCTTACAGAGATAGCTAAGACTGAAAGATATTTTACCTCAACCAGTTGTAAGTAATAAAACGAAAAATTGTTTTCAGGACCTGAAATTTGTTATTTTATATAAAAGACCAATTCAGGAAAATATTTCTTCCGGTTAATTAGCTTTCAAGCTTAGTAAAGAAAAATCAATATAATATTCATTTATTTACAATATTTATGAGGAGAAGCATATGAAATAAAATACTTTATAAATTAAAAATATATATATATACCCCGCTGGCGTTGTTCTGCGGTGTGTTTTAAATCGTTTATTTACGATTTATGTGAAAATATACCGACAGGTCGTACGGAAAATGACGTGCTATATAATTACGTTTTTCCTTTTTACTTCCGGAAAGCCGACAGATATTTACTTAGATTTTCTAACTGCGATCGCCCTTCGGCAAATGCAAAACCATAAATTACAGGAGGAGCACGGCCGAAAATCACTACCATTGATCACTTTCCATGAAACACTCATAAAGTTTTCACTGAACAACTTTCACAAATTTGGCTTTTGAAAAGCCGGAATGAAGAAAGCAACCCATCGAAATTGAACAATTCAAATAATTGTGACATCAGCAGAAGAAGTAATACAAATTAATTCCAATGTTAATGAGGTTAGGTAAATTCACCAATAAACGAAAAATGTTCGAATAAACAAATCAAAATAAAAAAAAAAAATTTTTTTAAATTGAAAAAAAATCAAAAAAGAAAATGTCTTTGGAAAAAGTTCACTTTTTGGAATTTTCCAATTTTCCGACTCAAAAAAAGTATTATATTATTATTATTTATGAACCGTTCCAGATCCCCAAGGAAACACGGCAGAAAATTTCATCAAGTTTGGTTCTGCCGTTCTCGAGCCTTAGCGTCACTAACAAACAAACATTAATTTTTATCTAATAAGATAAAGATTTTTTTCCATAAATACACTTATTTTTAAAAAGGTTTCAATTTAAAATTATTAGTTCAAAATTGCTGATGAAAATAAGTTCCTGAAGATTTGCCAGCTACTCTGAAATTTGTTATGCCTCAATTTGAAAATACTGAGCCATATAATATGAGCTGCTAACTTTTTCCGTTCAAACAAGTTTCGAAGAAAGATTGCCATGTTGTTTTTATTTTTTAATTCTTGTGAACATTTTATAAAAAAAAATATAAAGGTGTACACTTGCACTTGCCATGGGTTTCTTTACTTTGTCCAATTTTAATTCGAATTATGAAGGTTTCTATTTTATGTATTCAATTTAACTATTTCAAGTTAATCGGTAAGTAAGTTTTCGAGACATGCGAATCTAAACAAACGAACGTAAGATATGTACATATATTAAATGGTCTACGATTTTGCTAAAAATCGATACATGGTTAAATTGCTTGCTAAAACTGAGAACAATTTAAAACAATTTAAAAAATTCTTTCCCAGAAAATATGGATGCGGCAAAAACTGAGAACTTCATGACGGTAACCCTTTTAAAAATGTCATAGTTTGGCTAAACGTTACTCGATTTCAGAAAATTTAGTATCACTGGAAAGCTAACATATAGGGCTACATACAACAAAAAAGTGAATAAAATATCATTAAAAACAAATATATTTTCCAGTTGAAGTCTCAAAAGAACAAGAAGCTACGGATATTCGAAGCTAAACTGGTTTGTAAAAATTAAATTCTTTTTTTATAAAATTTTGTGTTAGTCTGTGGTGAGCGATGCATATTGGTTTATTCCAACTTGATCGTTATGAGATTAGATTTTTAGATAAAGGTAATATGCGAAATTACTTAGATCGACGACTTTAACTCATAGCTTCCTTATAGCTGATTTATTTTATATTTGCATGAAGAGTATTCCGCCCATACATTTTGAATTACAAATAAGCATTACAAATTTAAAGTTCGTGAAACTGTTCAGAAGTCAAAATCAATTGTTTCAGATATCTCATACTTAACCAGTCCAGTATATATGTATGTGTTCTTATTCCGTACATAATCATAGATTTTCTCCCGATGTTAAAAAAATAAAAACAAACTAGAACCATATTTTTAAAATGATTTGTGTAGTAAAAAAAATCATTAAGACATTTCATTCATATAAGTCTTCAGAATTTCCTAACAAAGCTGCAGTTAAAGCATGAAAGAAATATCATGGTTTCATAAAATAGTAGATTGTTAAAAATTATTCAAAAATTAAACAAAATAACAAATTTTTATCTGACTTTAAATTTCAGGGTCATCTCGTCGTTTGGGTTATATATTCTGGTGAAAAAATTATCGAAATCGCTGATCGAATTACGCGCTCTTTATTAAAAAACTAAACGATAGGTCCTAGCTGCTGTCCCAATTTGCGGTGTTAGTTGGTGTGTTATGTGTTTCCAAAGAAGTGACGGAACTGTAATTTATTTTTATCCGCTTTCGAACGGCTGATGGATACTCGGAGTGTCAACCTCTCTTTGTCGAGGTGCGACTCTTCGTAATATATCTGGATGCGTACATAGTAAAACTCATGTGCTCTTTTAGTTAAAAATGTATTCTGGAGTAGTTGACACTTGCTTCAAATATTTTAATTGGAATATTATCAACTAAAAGGATTAAAGAGTCATTAATAAAAATTGTTATGAAAATAAACTGATC